TCTGCTGTGTGACTTTTTACCAATCTTTACATAGTCTGCAAAATAGCTTTATAAGTAACCAGCTACTAGGATCATGGGTGCATGAGAAAGACCTTAAATTAGATTAGGATGGACAAGCATGAATGGGTGGTTAGATACGCATGGATGGATATTTGGGAGCGAGTCTTCTCTACCTCTGTGTGCCTAGAGTGACCACACAACACGTTTTTGCTGGGACAGTCCCTTTTTTCAGCCCTGTGCCGGCTGGCACCATGGAGGTACACAGACGCTCTCCACCAAAATCCACAGCGCCACCAGATGCCGCTGCTGAACAGAATTCTGCCCAGATACCACTGGGATGGATATCAAATAAATTCTTGGAGTTACAACAAGAATGAAACAACTTCACAGCTATGAAACTCCACTAAGAGAGAAGGATTATACACATTTCCCAGGTGGGTAAACTGAGGCACAGAATGCTCATGTGACTCACCCATAACAGGACAGTGATAGAATTAGGAGTGGAGGAGTGGTAGAATCTTTGTGCTCTAAATGCTGGACAATATTCCCTCGCTGTTCTGAGTATAGAACCCAGGAATCCTGACCCCTAGTTCCCTGTTTCAATCAACAGACATCCCACGTACATGGACATAGCTTCCCACACTCAGGAGCGGAACCCAGAAGACCTTTGTCTCCTGCCTTGATTATGCAAATAAATCAGACAACTTGCACCTCTTGTGTTTTTATAATTTTTTTTGGCCTATATGTTTTGCTTTTCTTTCTCATTCTTTGTGTCTGTATTTTTATGACTAGCCTGTTTGTCAGAGCTGTTTTAGTTATGTTCACAGGCAAGAAAGGGGCTGCAAGGTATCTTCTTCTTTTTTTGCAATGGGAGAAGCCAGTGTCACATTGCAGCAATCTGCAAGTTCAGATTATTTAATAGGTATATTACAGTGGTACATAGGAGCTGCCTCCCTTCATTGTGCTAGGTGCTGTATGAACAAAAAACAAAAAGTCCCTGCCCCAAAGATCGTACAGTCTGATTATTTATTGTGTGTATCACAGAAGCACCTAGAGGCCCCGATCAAAAATGGGAAGTATCTGGTTGTAGGTGCTGTACACCTGTACAACAAAGAGACAGTCCCTGCCCCGGAGAGCAATGTGAACCTGGGGGAGGGACGGGTCAGAGTTGGAAAGTTAAGCACATGAGCGTTTGCAGGATCAGGGCCTGAGTATTAGGGATGTTTACCTTGGCTTCAGCTTTGGCTTTGAATTTCTTGTCAATTTCAGGGGTAAATTTGGGGCAGCTGGTGCGGTAACCCAGCCCGGTGACTCCAAACTCTGGCCACCTTCTTTCCCCCTTGCAAACATTCGGTGCTTAGAACTGTCCCATTGCAACAGCCCTGTTGTGGGGCGGCCTCCTCCCACGCATCCCCTCATGGCCTCAAGCCAGTCCAGCAGGCAGCCCCCTGCCTCAGTTTCCCGCTTTCGAGGGGCTTCTGCAATAACTCACAAGCCCTTTCACAGTCTATTTCAGGTTTGGGTTTATTCAATGAACAAATATTTCAAAATAAAGTTTGCCAGTCCTTCCTCAAGTGCATCCATGCGCACCTCTTTATCAGGTCACCCCCAGACTTTTCCTGCCTGTTGTCCCACTCTCCACGTCCCAGCTGGCTGCACTGGAGTCTAGTCACCCTACAGCCTCTGTGCTAGTCTCTGCAGTCAATGATTTTAGTTTAGTATCCATTTATTGTGTGATGTTATCATTAATCAATGTGTTATATTACATATATTCATTGTATGTTCACCGGAGTTAATTTGTAGGATTATAAAAGGATAAGATTGATCAGTATTTAGGGGAACTACGTAGTAGACATGAGTAAGACAAGCTGAAACGCAAGAACCTGTAGACTGAGGCCTGCAAAACTTTAGCGTAGCTATTTTAGGCATTGGAGAGAAGAAATGATGGCGCAAGGCCATGACTGAGAAATAACCCAAAAACTTATGGGAAAGAGGTACCAACTGTTCATATTCCGAAGGTATAAGGTCTTAAGTTTAAATAATAAAATGCTGTAACAACAGATAGTGTCTCTAACATGTGCCTTAACCGCAAGATAAAGATGGTACGCCAACGTTAATGAGAACCTACATGGCCTATAGAATTCAGGGTCCTGTTGGGTTTGGCCTGTTGTATTGTTCTCTGGTTCATTATACACGGTTTATTAAATTATGTGCGGGTATCAGACCCAGTGATCAGTGATTTTAAGGACACTGTGGCAATCCAAGATGGAGTCTGAAAACTGTGGCAATCCAAGATGGAGTCATCTTGTGACTCCATCTTGTGACCTTCTGTACACTGTCAGCCTGGTCTGGATAAAACTGGACTGAACGGGTTTTTCCCGCCACTGGGCGACCGCCAAGGTTCCATCACCTCAGACTGTTTCCCGCCTTTCTGCGGATCGTACCATGTTTCCCCGCCATAGAGTCTGTGAAAGACCTGGGATCACGGGCTGATGGGACAGTCCACCATAGCGACCGGGTGCGGGGTTTCGGGTCTCCGGGGCACTCGTGCATCAGCGAAGAACACCCTTCGTGCCCGGGGCGAAAGGAAAAGAAGACGACACATTATCATCTTACCGCTCCTGCGCCCGGGGAACGTCGCCATCCCGAGGGTCCCTGGCCCGCGTCTTCTGTCCTCCTGCCGGAACCACGCCCGTATCGATCAATCCACGAGGGGGCCAACCGACTCTAACACCATCTTGGAGGATGGGGGTATGTCGGTAGGTATGACTGGTCCATGGTACTTCTCTCTAGGAATTGTACATGCTGTGACATTTATCACTTTGCTGGTAACGTTAACCAAACTGCTAAAAGGTAGACGCTCTTGTATTTTCGGTGTTATTTACCTGTGGTTTAAACGTGTTCCTATGAACTCTAGATCCAGGACAATCAGAGATAACTCTCTGTTGAACTTGAGACTGTAGCCGACAGAGCTGATCCCACTGAAGTAGGATTAACCGTACATAGAATAAAACGCTCCATTTCCCTAGAAATTCCCCTCTCTCCACATTCCTGCTGCTCTCAGCTCTTTACTGGGAAACCAGCTGACCCCTGCTCAGGTGAGCCCCCTTAGTAATTAGGGTTGGCTTGCCCCAGGCCTCTAGCCCTTCACAGGCCAGCTAGCCACCGGGATAGTGTATAAGCCAGGAAAGTAACCTCGCAACAGCGGGACCATTCCCCCGCTAACACATACACTATGATCTCCACTGATCATTGCGACACCACTGATAAGCTGAATGCAAACACGCTCAGCAGGTAGACAGCAGATCCTCCCATGGCACCAGAAGACGCCACTTCTCCCAGAAACATCTGCTTTTTGTTCGGATGCCTCTTCTGTTGCGAGCTAACCTCTGGGCAGTGGTCAATATATAATTGCAGAAGCTCCCGGATCCCCAGCACTGACTTGATCTCAATACAGGGGGGCTAGCGTCCCTGCCGCTCAGTCAGGAAGCACAAGAGGCTCCTTTAAGAAGATGATCTTAGTGAATTTCATGGTGGGGGAAGGTAATAGACCAATGGATTGATGGTCTCTATTTATAGCAGGGGTACAGGACGTCTCTTGGCAAAGTGCCTCCGTCCCTAATCTAGGAGATAAGGCCCTCTATTGGCAGGATGGGCAATTTCAGCTCTCTGGTCTATTCCACTGCCTACTTGTGCCTGTGGTTTGGTAACGTGTGCGCGTTTTATCTAGGTATTGCACAGAGAACTCTCCCCCCCCCCAACATTTCAGGTGGCTAAAGCAGGACGCCGCGCCACTCGGGTTTTTGGCCCACTCGCCCTCTTTGGACGGAGGCGGATGGGCCAAATGTGAGTGGTGTTGCAGCCTAGCACCGGGGCTCACAATGCCACTCACGTTTGGCTCGCCCGCCCCTCCGTAGGTGGCGTCGTGGGGCGGGCAGGCCAAACCTGAGCAGCACTGCAAACCTATGCACCAGGTCGCCGTGCCACAGAGTTTGGGGGCCCCCTCAAACTGGGGGCCCAAGGCAAATGGCCCCTTTAGACCCTCCCCTCTGGGCGATCAAGAATGCAGGAAATGTTCACTCCACCAGGAGAGGGGACTTGGGGGGGTGTCAAAGTAGGACCGTCCCATGAACCCCAGGGCTGTTGGGAGGTCTGGAACAGCCGCCCCTCCCCCGCCCCCCCCCATTCCAGAATGACTTTCAGACACTTGGAGGGGAAATTAACCTTTTTAACGACATTCAGCCAAACAACAACCCCTTGAACAACCTGCACATGCTGCCAGTTCCCTGGCAATGCAGTGAAGGGGAGGGAGCAGAGTCAAGGCTTAGAGACGCTGGGACAGAGGCAGGGTGGGATGATTGTGCTCACTGTATAATCCACAGAGAACATACCTGCCAAGATAAACCCGTCTGTGCCCTAAGGTCTTGTTTACCTTTTACATCAAGGAAGAACCAGGAAGGGGAAGAAAGATGATCTTGTGGTTAAGACACAAAACTAAGGAGTCAGGACTCCTGGGTTCTATTTCCAGCTCTGGAGGCAGAGTGGGATTAAGTGGGTAGAACTGGCGTGTGGTCTATTGCTAGCTGAGGGAGGGTAGGGTTATCTAATGGTTAGAGAAGGGAACTGGGGGTCAGGACTCCTGGGTTCTACTTCTAGCTTAAAGAGGGGGCTGTGATCTATGGGTTTAAGAAGAGGATTGAGTGGTCAGGGCTCTGGGTTCTACTCCTCGCTATGGGAGTATGGTTTAATGGTTAGAGAAGAAGGGGGTGGGGCAGGGCACCTGGTTCTGCTCCTGCCATGGGCTTGCTGTGTGATATTAGCCAAGGTGCTCAGAACCAAAATAGGAAAAGCAGCCTTTAATTCTGAATGCCTCTGTTTTTGGGGGTGCCCAGTGTGAGCTATGAGTTTCACAGGGGCTCAGGATCTACAGAGCCCTTTGTCAGCACGGCCTGGGACACAGCGATCCTACCGGGGTACCTGAGAAATAGTCAACCCTGGGGAAAGGAAGCTGGCCTCGGCTGCCTGGTATCTGGTTATTAGTTTGCTAATAAAGTCAACTTCCAGGAAGAGAGTGAAATTGGCTGTGTATAATGTGTTTGGAAGAGGCTGGGGGTGCCATCTGCTCACAGGTTCGCAGAATACTATGTGATAAATGAAGAGGGGTGGGGGTAGCTCCCTTTTATGAACAGCCAGTAGCTATAAAATCCCTCTTAGTAGCTGTTCTCTAATTGCTTTACCTGTAAAGCGTTAAAAAGTCTCACTGCTATGCATAGGTAAAAGGAAGTGAGTGGGCGCCTGGCCAAAAGAGCCAATGGGAAGGCTAGAACTTTTTAAAATTGGAACAACTCCCCTTTTGTCTGTTCTGTTGTTGTTCTCTCAGGGAGAGGCAGACAGGGCTGAGCTATGCTGTAAGAAGCTTGGGCCAGGTATGAAAAATTATTAGTATCATACCTAGAAACTACTCATTTAAAACCCCAGATATGTAAGTAGATCAGGAAATGTCTAGGGAGACACAATTAGGTTTATCCTTTTTATTTCTTTATGGCTTGTGGATTCCTCTGTGCTAACCCTGGTGCTTTTGTTTTGCTTGTAACCTTTAAGCTGGACCTCAAGAAAGCTATTCTTGGTGCTTAATCCTTGTAGTTGCTCTTTTAAAATCTAGCAATAGCCTGAGTTCCCAGATGTATTTTCTCCCTTTTTAAAAAGATAAAATTTACCTTTTTTAAGAACAGAACTGAATTTTTGTGTCTTAAGAGGTTTGTGCACATGTTGTTTAATTAACAAGGGCAATAGCTGATTTTTTTTTTCTTTCTCCACTCTTCCCCGGGCTGGGGGTGAAAGGGTTTGAGGGTACCCCACAAGAAGGAATTCCCAAGTGCGCCTTCCTGGGCTCTCAAAAGGGTTTTGCACTTGGGTGGTGGCAGCATCTACCAATCCAAGGTCAGAGAAAACCTGTAACCTTGGAAGTTTAATACAAGCCTGGAGTGGCCAGTATTAATTTTTAGAATCCTTGCAGAGCCCGGCCTTCTGCTGGGACTCAGAAATGCTGGGTCCTATCCCCAGCACTGGGAGGAGAGTGGGGTCTAATGGTTAGAATGGTTTATATACTGGGACTCAGAACTCCTGGGTTGTATCCCCAGCACTGAGAGGAGAGTGCAGCGTAGTGTAGTGGTTAGAGTACTGTGTGTACTGGGACTCAGGACACCTGGGTTCTATCCCCAGGACTGGGAGGAGATTTGCATCTGATGGAGTGGGTTATACCCCACAAAAGCTTATGCCCAAATAAATTTGTTTGTCTCTAAAGTGCCACAAGGACTCCTAGTTGTTTTTGCTGATACAGACTAACACCGCTACCCCTCTGAAAGCTAATGGGGTTCTTCCAGCTTTACTCTGAGCACAGTAATAGCAGCTTCTAGCCCCTGGTACTAAGGCACTGCCTTTCACTGA